AGTCTCCTGTGTGTCATACTACAGCAAGGAGTTTGGAAGAATGAGCTTTTGAATAATTTTGGGGAATATTTATAATGTAAAATCTTCAATAAATATGGCATTATCTTAAATAACTTTACTATTATACAGTATATTTCTACCAAACTCACTATTTGCATTGTTGTTGTTAGCATCTGGTTAACTTAACGGATATTAAAAGCTGTTTCTAAAACAATGAGAGGGAGAGCTCTGTCCTGTCAGACTGAGAGAGATAACTACAGCTCAGTGAGGTAAGGGACTCTGTTTAGATAGTTAACTTTAGTCTAGTTATCTCAGTGGGTCTCAAACGTTTTGGTCACCATTTATGAGAATAAATGAAAAACAGTCATGAAATACAATATGACAGTAAAACAAGAATACAGTTTAAAAGGTGAGTGATTTGTAGGCTATTCATTAAGAAAATCTGTTCACAGTTCTGTTTCATATGAGTGTTGAGAGAAGTATCCATAAATTCATTTTGCTCTCAAAGTGCACCAGGTTGATGCATTTAACTTCAATATTTAAAAAAAAAATCTTCCCAGGGGAGCATGGCCCCGGACCCCCCTAGAGGAGGTGAGGACCCTCGCCCCCCCCCCACTTATAAAATAGCACTTTACCTCTGCTTACACCTATATGGCATTTTATATGCTGTGAGCTGATTATCGAGCCTTCATTGTAAGAGTCGCGGGTACGCTGTGTATGTGCGTATTCCACTATAGCGCCCGGTACATTAATGGGAAACCCTAGTTTGTATATGTTCAATACATTTGTAACACTGTACACATGAACGTTTTGTTTTTTCGGTTCACCAAAAAAAAAAAATCTCACTCCAATGTTGGCAGCCCTGATATAGTCGCTAGATTTTAACAAGAAAAATGATGTTTGGAATAAAGAAGAAGATATCTCTGATTCTGCCACATAAATCAGTATATCATTAGTCCATTACAGAAGTTCATTGGTAAATCTGTGGATTACTCTGTTAATATGTGTTGTATTTGGTCAAGCAGTAAAACTGAGGCAGCAGAAGGAGCAGCTGGAGCCTTTGGTCCAGGAGGAGGACCGGGAGGAGGAGATCAGTGGAGCCCAGTTCCTCTGTGAGACCGTCATCCGCTCCCTCACCTTAGAGGAGGCCCCTGATCACAGACCCCTGCGCAGGGCCCTGCACAGCAGCCATAAACCTCAGAGTGAGAATGAGACCTTTAATCACACTGTGTTATGTGGTGGAAATCCTTGAAATGAACTGGCCAAGAGTTGTCCTTCTGACTCTTTGATCAACTTTGGAGTCACAGAGCTTTCAGAAAGCAAAAGTCTCTACAGCCCAGAGCAACAACTCAAACTGAGTCAGCTTGTATACAGATTCAGTGAATACATGCTGAGTCATGATATTACTGACCCATGGCTCTAAGGGCATTAGACCCATGATCAGATCAATGGTAACCTACTGTGTGGTCACATTGCACCATCTTATCTACATTTATCTACTATTTTTTGACAAGTAAGGCTTACAGAATATTGTTTTTTTTACAACATCATGGCATTGTGTTTTATTGATAATCCGTATTTCCATTACTGTTATTATTAACACTGTTGAGTAATTTAACTCAGAAATTCAGTGTTTCTTTGTTTTGTGCAGTATAATCAGGTGCTCACACTTAGTTTTTCTCCCTTCTTTTCTTCCAGTTATGTCGCGGGGCACCAGCTTTTGCTTGGAGAGGGTTGTAGAGGCTGAGCAGACCACAGAGACAGTACAGGAGGGAAGTGAGGAGATCTGTGCTGTTAGACTGGAGAGTTCAGCTCTGCCTGTCAACACAGGCCTCAACCAGATCACAGAGGAAGAGGAGACCAGACCAGGTTAGTGGAACACTTCCGGGATTCGGTTTATTCCTGTTTATTAACTTATTTGTATTACATCCGTGCTTTTAATTGCACACCGACAGTTTGATATCTGCAATTCTTAGATGCTAATTTTGTGGGGTTTTTTGCCTCTTTTTTCAGTTTTGCAGGAACCAGCAAATGAAAACCTGCATACGAGTTCACATCATGATATCGAGAACGAAGAAGTCATTGATGACATGCAAAACATGGCAGAAATTCAAGAGGAGAAAGAGGAGGGTGGAACTAAAGGAGAAGACTGGGAGGAGGTGAGGGTTTAACCTTTTTTAAACTGAAACCTTTCTCTGGCATCTTATCTGTAAGAGTTGCTTTATTATTTCAGATCCACATTTCCCTTCTAACCACATCAGTTGTCTTAATGTAATCACATCCACCATCTTCTCGTCCTGTGTCTCAGGTCAGCAGTCAGACCTCCTCAGTCTCCTCCTGCGACGATTACATCATCATCCTCCCAGACTGCTTTGACACCAGCCGGCCTCTGGGGGAGTCCATGTACAGCTCCGCCATGTCACAGCCGGACCCCGCCCCCACCGCCGCTGCTGCTGCTGATGATGATGTGACCCCAGCCGATCCGGACGCACTGCAGGAGGAAGAGGAAGAGGAAGACTCCAACTCGGGGCCGGATGACGTGGCCCCGCTGAGAGAGAGGCAGGAGGCAGTGGATGCAGAGGATTTGTCTGTGAACACGTGGCCCCTGCCCATCCCCCCCCCCCACAGCAGTGTGAACCAGATGCTGTGCGCCTCCCAAACCCTGGACGCCGTGACACTCACGCCTGTAGTGGTGCCTCCACCAGTGCTGCCTGACCCCCTGCTGCCCCCCCCCACACTCTACTCACCCAGGTTAGATCACACAAATGGTCTTTGGCATGTGTGGAACTAACTTTTGGATGTGAATCAGTATTTAAAATGGATTTCTGTCAGTTTTTTTGTTCTTGTCGTTGAAATGTCTTCGTTTTCCTCGTTAACAATGTCAAGTATAAATAAACATGACTATCTCTATGGGAACCCAGTATGAAAGTTAATTAATGACGATATATTGCACCTTGAGCAGTTTTGGTTTTGGTTGCAAAAGCTAAAATACAGAATGTCTCTTTTAAATAAATGTCAAAACTTTAAATGTGTTTGTAAGTTAGCAAATGGGGAATTATCCTCCAACTAATAACAGTTTTTGAACTGTTGATTGTTTCCAGAAAATGTTTACGTTTCAAATATTTAATGTGACATTGACAAGGTTGTATCACTGCGCTTTTTCAAGTGGTATTATTATCGCCGCCTCCGTCACAATGAAAACCAAATTGCTTACTTCAAGCGACAAAATTAGAAACGTATTCAGATCATCAGCGCAAATTATGCAAATAAATGCCCTTAGCGTCGTTTAACTAATGCTGCTACTTTGCACACGGCACTCTGCATTTTATTTTCCGCGGCTTTGTGCGTAAATTACGCATTTATTTTCCCAAGAGATCAAACCTGGTCAGGCAGAGTTCCATTTTGAAAGCTAGACTTATAGGGAACCAATCTAAACAGGGATGGTTTAATTATTCTTTACCTATTACATTTTGCGATCAACATTTACTTCACAATAAGTTAAAGGAAATAACTTGTCTATTGCCACTTAGAAAAAAAGTAATTTGGGATTAAATAGAGTATTAAATGATTCGTTTTTTCTTCTTCTTCTGCCTGCTACAGACTTACATGTTTTAAGTCGTCTTTGTTTGATTTGTGCTTCAGGTCTGAGGCACTGTACCTGGCCGAGGATCCCAGTCCTCCAGCCTGTGATCCATATGAGCCACATCAACCGAGGGTCCACCTAAATGGTGAGTTTCACTGTTTGTCCACCCAGCTTTAAGCACATCACAGTGTCATAGTACAAACTGGCACACATGGAGCATAAAACCACTCGGCATGACACAGCAATATCAACACAACATCTTCACCAGTGTGTTTTGGGTGTTATATAAATAAGACTGTGGTGGATTGACTTCAGTGTTGCCTCACAGAAAGGAAACACATTGTTGCCCTTTCTGGGAAGACAGGAAGTGAGAGCGCACACAAGCTTTCAGAATCTGTTGCTTCAGCAGAATGCTTTGTTCCTCCTCTAATATTGTGTTTGCATGTGTGTGTTGCTCCTTTTTTTCTTTTCTTTTAAAAATAAAATCTGCTTTGCAGTATCATCTGGTCTGTCGAGATCAGCAGGCTCAGCATCCAGTGCCTTTGAGACATACAACCCCAGACCCAGCAACGCTTTGCAGCCAAGGTGCAATACAACAAAGAGTAAAATTTGATATATTTCACTTTCATAAAGCAGATTCCTTCCTTGGTTTCTCTTTTGTGTTGACGATACGCATCTGTTTTTATAATTTATTTGTGTAACAACCTAATCTGATAGCTTTTAACAGAGTCTATAATCAGAAATGTGATGCACATGTACTTTTTTATAAACAAATCTAACTAGAACATGTTGTTCTCTGCTATATTGTTATACAACCCAGCTTAACCACATCCCTGTCTTTATACAAGGGGCCAAGGAGGCATCACCGAGGGACTTGTCAAAGGGGCCCTCTCTGTGGCAGCGTCCGCTTATAAAGCTCTCTTCACAGGACCAAACTGCTCAATACAGGTACATCACACAGAAACCCTTATTTAAAGTCTTTTTTGTTTTGTGTATCATAAATGCATAGCAAAACAAACAGTATATCAGAGTTATAGTGGGAAGATTACGTTACTGAACGGCAAGTGGATGATATTCATTTTCCATTTCAAAATATATAACTCGTAAAAAATGTGTTAAAAGGCCCCAGTTTTTTTCAACTCAAAAGTTTTCCCTTTTCTGTACTTTTTCTATAGATTTGTGTGCATGTAAATTGTCTGCAAAATCTGAAATCACAAAGCTCCGTCCCCCAACCCTTGCCTGAAACACCTCCATCGGAATCCTTTGTTTTCTTCCGTGACATAGTAACATGTTATCGGCTAGCGCTCCAACACATTGTACGTGATATATAAGGGGTTGGACATGTCTATGCAGTTGACCAATCACAACAGAGCCCGCCAGCTAACCAATCAGAGCAGACTGGGCTCTGGTTTCAGACAGAGGGTGAAAAGAGGTGCTGCAGCACAGGCAGTATGAGAGAAATAAAGAGCTTTTTGAACATGAAAGCATGGAGACGGGTCAAAGTAGAGGCACAAAATACAAGTATGAACCTGAAAATGATCATAATATGGACCCTTTTAAGAGTTGGCCCTCCGATAAATGTAATCACATTGGCGAGAACATGCTTGAGAGATATTACATTTCTAGGATCTTATGATCTTTGCATTAGCATTTTCCCCAGAAAATGTGTGACCATTTTTGCAAAAATGTGATCGATAATATTTAAAGAAGGAATATTTTATAATAACAGGTCCTACTTCTATGTGTAATATGAAAGGTGTGACAAATCCACAGAGATTTAATGTATGAACAACATTTTGAGATCCCCTTCAGACAGTTAATTGTTTTCTCACTCTCTTCACTTTTTCTGTTTCACATGTCCAGTAATAGCAGGCAGCTTTTTCCAACCAAACAATGTCTGTTAAACCCCCTTTACACAACATGTGCAGCACCAGACAGCAGAGGGACAAAATAAGCTACCAGCTGGTGAAACTAGTGGAGCGTTTAGAAACTAAAGAGCCAGATATATCCACTGAGGGGTTTTTAGAACAAACCGAGCTTAAAGGAAAGTGAATATCATCAATGGACATCAAAAGAAAGCTAATTTTGCTCTGTGTCAGAACCAGGGTGGGATTTTCACGGCGGCCATGGCCGTCGTAGCCCCTCGGTCTGGCCCTTATGCCCCACAAATAATTGTACGTCCTACGGCCACCTTGGTCTTTGGGCCCCTCACACTGTTAAAATCTCGAAGTTGCTTTAAAAGCGTCAGAACAGTGGTTTCTGAACTGCATTATGCTGCGTTCACAACGGACGCGATGCAAATATTCGCATTGCTCTAACCCAGGGGTCGGCAACCCCTGGCACGCGTGCCAGCATTGGCACGCGGCACCGTAACCAGTGGCACACTAGGAATAAGTGGAATAAGTGCAATAATATTTAAATTGTATTTTCGGATCCTGAACGAGACCGCCGCCAGAGCGCGTCTACCTGCAGAAGGAAGCCATGCACGCAACGCAGCCCCGCTCTCTTTAACTCCAGGTGACTTTCTGCCGCTTTCCTCCGTGGTGCAGTGCTGATCGAAAGCACTTCACAAATTGCAGTAGGCCTACCCATAAGGAGCTGTACAAATGCCGCAGTTTTTGCGTGGCTGTGTCTTTAGTTGAAAGCCCAGTGGCGATCTGCTCATCGAAATAATATGCTACAAAGGGGCGGACTGGCCATCTGTGTGTTGAACTTTCCTGTCGGCTCCCAGACCGTAGTCGAGGAGGGCAGCAGCAACAAGCTTCAGGTTCAATAACCCACTTTAGCTTAAATGACTGGAGAGAGGCGAGCTCTTTTTGGGAGGCCGTTGCATTTATTTAGCTGTTCTTCTGTTTCACAAAATACATCACAGACCTCAGTTTTTCTGCTGCCTCGTTTCACTTCCAGAAACATACACACGTTCCCACTTCCCTCACTGTCGCTCTGCCATCCACACACACACATGCACAAGCCACACCCCTCTCTCTCGCTCTCTCTCTTAAAGGGACAGCGATCTCATCTCACTCTGCATGACCCTAATATCATAACATCAATGTGTGTTCTGGAGAATCACAGAACGGATGAATGTCCTTATTATTATGCCGTTTAAACCAATTATTTAAATGTGGTAAATGTGTGACGTTTCGTTACAGGTCACACACTGGGGGGGGGGGGGGCTCCCGCAGCGAGGCTGCCCCCCGCCCTCTGGGCTGATAGTTCAGCCTATCCCCTGTGTGCCTTGGCCCTCCCCGTTGATAATTCTCGATCGTCGGCACGCTGATAACAATTTTTTTTTTAAATGGCACTTCATATCAAAAAGGTTGCCGACCCCTGCTCTAACCGCTGGGGTTTCACCGCGGCTGCCAGCTGTGTTTACTCCTGTCATTCAAACAGGACGCGCTGGAGAGGGGGTGGGGCTTTTATTCATGTAAATACTGTGGTGGAAACCAACTATGACAAAATTAACCTATTTTACCGTGATTTAATTGTAATACACGTTTCAAAATGATGCCGAAGTAACTAAATACTGATGACGGTTAGTAAAAAACATGCTTTGACAAGTGTGCAGACAAGACGGCAGGCGAAAAACTTTTAAAATGCGTGTTTTCCGAATGGAGATTGGATCGATCAGGCTAAACTAACCTGTAGCTGCTCCGTCCATACTCACAACAACGTCCTAAAGACAGAATTAAAGCAGTGACTGTATTCACCATGACACAGACAGTCTGTGGTTTGTTCATCTTTAACTTTTGTCCAGTTTCTGAACAGATATGAGGAGCTGTGAGGAGTTGATTAAAGAGACTCTCGTACACACACGCACGCACGCACGCACGCACAGACTTTTGCATTTCAAAGTATTGCTTGTTCACACAGTTCAATGTTGGAGCTTCACTGTGCACTGTTGAATGTATGTGCAGAATTTGACCCTTGAAGGCTGTTTCTTCTGCTCTGAAATTGAATATATTTGTTACATATTATTAGAATTTTAGATTTTTAGATTGGATTTTGGATTTGTGAATGGGAGAAGTAGTAGATGGAAAACATACCAAACACTAATTATTCAAAGTATACAGTAATACTAAGGAGGCTTAGGCCTATATGATGATATAATGTTTGACATTATTGATATTAAAAAAGTGATTTGTTTTCCATGTCATTTCTTATCAGAAAGTGAAGTTATTTATTTGTAAGCTCCAAATCCTAATTTTTCCCTCAATGGCCTTTGTGCCCTGGCATGTGGCCTTTCCGCCCTGAAATAACGTGTGACACCAAAGGCCAAATGGCCTTGCCTCTAAAATGATGAAAATCCAAGCCTGGTCAGAACTCAAAGTTCATCATAACAGCTTTAGAAGGTAATAAAGTGTTGCATTTAAAGGTTTTTTCCATTGCCCTTTTGTAACTCAGCTGGGAAAAGAATGCAACTTTAACAAACTGCTGTTAATCCTAACATTTAATCAAATGAAAGTTAAAAGTGTATTTGAGAGCTCGGGAATTATATGATTGGTATTGTTTCAGTAGCTACTCGCCTGTGTAGTGAGTCAGACCAGAAGTTCATTAACCGTTGTGACCCCACATATTTTCCCTGAATTGTGTCAATAAGTATAAAGTATAAAGCTGCTGCCAACACGTTCCATTAACCAAATGCTCTGTTTTAGGTATGGAGTACTCAGACCTTTTACAAAGTATAAGCATTAATAGGAAAATTATGAAAATCTCAGTTACAAGTAAAAATCCTGCATTCAAAACTTTACTTTATTGTAACAGTACTAAAGTACTCATCAGCATCTACATGTACATGTAAAGCACAAAAAGAAAAGTTACTCATTATGTATAATGGCATTTTATACTCATAATATACACATTATATTATTATTATTATAATAATAATATAACAATACCTTGTTGCTGATTATAATAAGCGAAAGGTAAAGGTGTGGCAATTATAAAATATAAAATAATGTATTACTTGATTCCTATTTTATAATAATAATTATACTATACATAATTTATATTTTGAGATGTTTACATTTTAGAATTGTTTATTTCTACTCTTTTAATTTCTCTTATGTGCAATGCCTTGTGTGTGCTGCTGCAACGCAAAAAATCCCAAATTGGGATCAATAAAAGTACATCTTATCATCTTATCTTAATAAACATCTGACTTTTATAAATGTAACTAAGGCTGTCCAATAAATATATAGTAGAATATTTGCCTCAAACTTAGTAAACTCTGTCTGTATTTACTCTGTATGTCCCCGTATCTCACCATCTCATGCCTGTTTTGTTTCCCCCACTGCAGCGAGGCATCGACCCGGCCACCCGGCAGGACCCTTCCCTGATGGCCATGCTGCTGGAGATGGGCTTCAGAGACCAGCGGCTCAACCAGCGGCTGCTGAGGAAGCACGGCTACAGCCTGCTGCACACCGTCAACGAGCTGGTGCAGATCGCCGAGGACAACCAGAGCAAAGCTGTCAATGCTCCGCACTGAGCCAGGGAAACGCTACTCTAAAAAGAAATGTATTTGACTTTTAAACATTACGTCAAGAGAATATTAAGATTATGACCTGCGTATATATCACCCTTTCCAGTGTCTAGATTTGTTCTAAATTGTGTAAAGAAAGATGTTTATGATTCGTGCTATTCAATACTTTTCCAAAGGGTGGATGGTTATTTAGAAACTGATAATAAGACGGCAATGTCTCTAAAGAGGAATTATTTCTTGGACTTGTTCATCGGAGAGAAAATAGATATTAGGCGCTTTCACACCGCAGTACTTTTCCCACAAAGTTTTATCAGACTTAGTTCATGAGAACTCTTTAGTTCTGATGAACTAAAGAGCAGATCGCGTTCACACCGGAATAAGTTCCTGGGGGGGGGATTAGGCAAATGAAGCCGCTGACGTCACTTCTTCTTCTTCTGCTTTGGGTTTACTGACAGGCCGCAAACAACTTCACGGCGTATACCTCTACTGAAGCCTTCAGAGTAAATCGCCAGAACGCCGACACCTCCTCATCTCCACCGCTCCCATGTTTTCTTTTGTGTTGCCATAAGTTAGTCTCTCTGCGTTTGTGCGCTGGGCTAATGCTAATAATGCTAATGCGAGGATAATAAAATAGTGGCTTCACAAAACTTTTTGGGAGTTTTACGGGGCGTGGTTTGCAATCCGCCCAGCCAATCAGACATAGGAACCTTTTTCTCCCATTAAAGTACCTGCTCTCTAGCAGGGACTGAAAAGGAGGTAAAAAAGGTTCTGATTAACTCATTTTTGTTCCGGCTCTTTTTGGTGTGAACGCGACATTTCGGAACTATGCCGGAACTAAAGTGGGAAAAGTACTGCGGTGTGAACGTGCCTATTGGCTTTTTCTGCCATTACCTTTTGATTTAGCTTCAACATTTTGACAAAATTAACCATATCTACGCTTGTAAATTCTTACAAATAGTGGTTAGCCTTTGCCATGTCTTGTGTGGCTTCAACAAGGCAAAAAGTGCGTATTCCCGCTCTTCATTATTAGTGTTTGTATGGCTGTTGTTGCTGCTTCCTCGGCGCTGAAAAATAAGTATTTTGACTGGGCTTGGCTAGATTCCTTTCACAAATAGAGTGAGGAAAATGAATACTGTTGAATGTCATTAAAGATAGAAAGAGACAGCTCTCATGTGCTCTACTGAAGCTAACGTAGCTAACGATATCTGGGTGGCAAGGGTCAGAAGCGCAGAAATGAGAATATTTAAACTTTTCCCGATTATCGTAGTGAACTCTGCCTAAACAATGCAATCTTCTTTCTGTATCAGAGTACTGTTATTTTAGACGTTGACATGTGGAATGTATACTTAAACTGTCCGAAACTGACTCGGATGTTTTCTATCGCTTTTTAGGAGACACCTGCATGACAGGTAGAGGCTTTAGAGATGTGTTTTCTCGTGGTCTTAGCACAGTCACGGTAGAAAGTGTCCGCTTCCTACATCCTGCCTGCATCTTCTCTATTCGCATATCCAGCTGAAACAGTCATTTAACACTTACTTAAACCCGAGATGTCTCTAACAACACATTCCTCACTCTCATAGTGGAACCAAGTATATCTTATTTCCTTACATTGCCTTTATAAAAACATGATTATTAGTTTACTGAAATATACATATGGTGATTTGTGGTGTGAGTGTGCAGATTTAAGTTGATGTCTGTTATTTTGAATCCTGTGTGGGTGCTTGAGGATTTTCTTTTGTTGATCACCCACGTTTAAAAAAAATCATGCTCTGAAGAATAATTCTGAATATATCTACTATGCTTGTCAACTTATTCCTCTGTCACAGAGTGTATACATTAAATATCCTTCTACTGTCAATCCGCCAATAAAATATTTGCACATCTCGCTTGTCTCTTTTGTTTTAATGCCAAATGTCTAGATCTAGGTCATGGCACACTATATATCTGATATACAGGAGGACAGGCTGTACTAGGTTATATGGAGTTTGTCAGAAGTTAGATACTATAAAGGAGTGATGATGCTGCATTTCTGACAGAAGGAGGTTGGGTTTAACATATTTTGTGACCGCTTGTGTACATCAAAGCTGCATTACTAATGTATGTCGGTAGCCAAGAGGCTGACTCACTGCACTTGACATATCATTTTAAGGTTCATACAGTTTTGAGTTTGTACTAGAAAGTACTCTTTAAGCCCTTTTCCCAAAATGGCTCTGGTTAGTCAGTGTTTCCAGCTCTGACATATTTGTGGTGTCTGCGTAATCATAATCCGAGATATGGAAATCTCACCTTGACCAATATTTACAGTTCGCAACACTGAGATTGTTTTTTCGGTTGGGTCATGTTAAATCTCTAACTCACTCTGGCTTGCTTCCCCAAATGTTCCTACCCAAGCTTTATGAAAAAGAACATACTAACTATCATCAGCGGGATTTACTTAGGGTCATGATTGATTTGGCATCACCCTTTTGGTAACAACAAATGCAGTCTGATACTAAGTGGCGTAAATACTGTACTTGAATACAATTTTGAGATACTTTAGTTGAGAATTTCCACTTATGCTACTTTGTACTTCTACTCCACTACAATTCATAGTTCGAGTACTTTCACCCCACTACATTTATTTAACACTTTTAGTTACTTTGCAGATTTGGATGAATAATGTGAAATATATTCAACTCTTAAATCAGACTTTAGTTACACCTGGAGTAAATTCAAAAGCTACCCTGCAGCATACAAAGTCATTAAAACTAGCTGCACCTTTACCAGCTTTGACAACTTTAATGCATCAATAATTATAATGAAAACATATGATGTATATTATTCTGAAATGGACCAATCTGCAGAAGAAGTATTTTTACTTTTTGTACTTTCAGTATATTTTGATGCAAATACTTTTGTACTTGAATGCAGGACTTTTACTTGTAACAGAGTATTCCGACACTCTTGTACTCTGTTTCCAAATACTTCTTCCACCTCTGCTGATACAAGTCCCTGAACTAATGGGGCAGTAAAACTACTGTGTGTGGGAGAAAACACTACAGGAAAGGGAAACCCCCAATAAGGATATTGGGCCCCTTTAATTCAGAATATGTCCAGTTTGTAACAATTGTTAAGGTATAAATATGGCAATACTTCATCTGTTCCCCATATGCTCAATCAAGCAATAGACTGTGACTTAAATGAAAATCTTCGAGATACTCCAAGGTTTGGGGGCCCCAACCTTGGAGTATCTCGAAGATTGAATGACCCCCAACTTGGGGGTCATCATTTTTTGGGGTCAGGAGAGTCCCCCTTGGCTCAATAACAGGTTAATCTGGCCATGGTATAACAAATAAAATGCCAGAGTCAAAAATAGCTTGCACTATAACGTTTGGGGTTAGTTGCACATTTGTTAGATTAGGTCTGAAAATGTGTTTCCATTCTTTATAGCCTTTAAGGAAAGTAAATGGAAAGCAGCACATGTGATCTGCAGCCGTAACCGAGCTGTCACCGAAAGGAGGAAGTGATCCTCCCACTGTTCTCTGTCGAAAGGAGGTTTGAGGCAGTCACCATTTAGCTTTCATAAATTATTAAAACTACAAAAGAATAAGCGGTGGAGCAGTTCAACTCGGAGCTGAGTCGTGTTGTCAGGTAAACACTTGTTTCTATTGACTTCTGCCCGCTGCAGTAATGCGGGATCAATCATCTCATCATGTTTTGCGTCTTTGCTAAGACATGTTTCACTGCGACAACTTAGGTTTCTAAATGCATGTTGCTAATAATATGGCCTCAGATAGATTAGTGATTAATGATCTCTAAATTGCAAACCATCGCTTCTGTTTGCGCCATCTTTGATGAAGGTTATCTAATGTGAGGTGTCAGGTTTTAATCTAATAAACAATGTAAAGTTTAACATTAAATCCAAATGAAACTCATCCAAAATGCTATTATCTTGCTCCTATCAGGTGGATGAAGTATTCAAATCTTTAATTTAAGTATCATTTGCAATACTGCAATATAAATGGAAGAATAACAAGTAAGTCCTGCATTTGAAATGTCTGCCGTTAATACAATTTTACCCTTTATATTCTTTCCAACTATGCAGGTGAATATAACTTCAATTTGTATGATCAATTCCTGATTAAGCCATTAAATAGGCAATGTAAATTATCATGATTTCTATATTTTACAAGATAACTTCCTCTTTATGTTTGAAGAGTTATTAATTGTGTGTTTTATTTCAAACTTTATTTTAAAATTGGGCTTCAAAATAAATTGAGAACACCCAGTGACACTTCCTAGAAAGAAGAATGTAAGCTGTATTATAAGATTGTTTTTCATTGTACTTTTATTGGGCCTACTGTAAGTCAGTGGAGCTACATAACCAACAAAACAAACCAGATCAGCTTCTTTTTAGAAAAATGGGAAGGAGTCCAAATCCATTTGTTGAAGTCAAAGTTCAAAATAAGGCTTTTTTAATGTTATGTATGGCAGCAGTTGCCTTCAAATACATAATGCTCAGTATATATTACTGCAATTAATACTAGGCTGCTGCTTTTTAGATTTTATACCAGTTTTGATCCTGGTTTCACAAATTAATCACATTGTGAAAACAGAAAGACCCTGTGCCTGATTAATAAACTCAACCGCCAGTGAAATGTTGTAACACTACACAGAAAGTGCTAGTCATTGCGCCATTGCCAGAAAAATACTGGTAAAAACGTTTCACATAATCATTTAATCCTGTAGGAGATGGTACAACACAAGTGAATACTAAAAGCTAATATACTTTGCAAAACAAAAGCCCAAATCCAGAATGTGTTTCAATTCCTAAATGCTATCACATGTGTTCTTCAACATCTTTTGCTCACAGATTAGATAATAAATATAATGCATATATTAAAAAATGCTGTTTCTTCAATTGAAGGAACAGCATTTTTTAATATATGCATTATATTTATTCATTTCTTTGTGAAGTCAGTTATAACATAAGTCAATGCTGGAGTTTTTCTGTCACTCCCACACCATGGACTCTGATCACATGAGGACATTTAGCACAAGAATGGGCGTTAATTGGCCATTTAGATAAATTAGTTCCACTTGAGGTTGTTCAACAACAAAAAAATATATCTGGGGAAAGAAGTTGCTTTTATCATATTTTGGTTGTTTCTGAGCCTTCCCATCCTTAATGTGAACATAGTCCTATCTTAGTGAAAAACAAAATGTATGTAAGGGGGCTATGAGAATGAAGTTTACTTTGTGTTTGACTGTCCTGTCAAAGAGGACATACAGTAAGGGATTTACTTTTAAGAGAAAATGGCCTCTATAAATGCTAAATTCTTTAGACTGGATCAGAAAAACTTGACTTCTGCTCCAGGAA